GTCATCATGAAGTAGGACTTCTAAATGCCAAAAGGATAGATCCACTTTTACCTTTATTCAGATATTTCCCTTGCTCCAACTTCTGGCAATATTAGGTTATTCCAATAGAGTATGTGGCCCTGAACAAAATGAACAAAAAATGCTGTCATCAAAGTAACTCCCCATCTACTCAGGTAGGAGCAAACTTCAACTGCCCAAACAGGCATCTCTAATAGGAAGAAAAATGTATCAGAAGACATATCAGCTATGGAATAACCTTCCTGAGGAAAGACAACATGGATTCTAAAAGGAATCACATCACACGCCCATTTCACCCAAATTCCCTCTAGAAAATTAAGTATGTGCGGCCGGGCACGGGTGGCTCATGCCCCCGGTAATCCCAGTACTGTTGGGGAGGCGAGGCGGGTGTGATCAATGAAGCCAGGAGGAATATCGAGACCGATCCTTACGCCAAACCATGATGGAAACCCTGTCTCTTTAAAAGATTACAAAAATTAGCGGGTGTGTGGTGTTGCGCCTGTAGTTCGCTCAGCCTACTCGACAGGGAGGCCTGAGGCAAGAAGAATCGCTTGAAACCCGGAAGGCGGAGGTTGTAGTTGAGGTCGAGGACGCAATCACACCACTGCGTACCGCTCCCCCGCCATGCCTGGCGACGAGCAAGACTCCTGCTTCTCGCAAGAAAAAAAACAGAACAGAACTTATGTGAATAACGCAATTTATGTACTTTCACAAACTCCCTTGATAAGATCTCCTAGATTCAAGAGAGTTTACTATCGCCCCCATCTGTGTTTAAAGCAGCCTGACGGGGCCCACCGACGGATGAGAAACTTACTGTAAAAGCCTAAAACACTTTAACTGAAGACAGCCAGTCGAGCAACTTATAGGGTAGATGCATCGACCGCGCAGGACGGCTACTTCCCGCCGCCAATCAAGGCTATCAAGCAACCAGAACCATGAAATCTTTTTTACCGAAGCCCGCGCGTGTTTAACATTCTTAATATTTGTAGCAAAAAGTATAGCTAGATTGCAATCCCCATTGTTGCGATCGGATGATGAAAGATTCCAAATAATGAAATACAACACGAGTGGAAAAATAAGGGAACGGAGAGGATGGAAGGGTTTCTAGAATGTATTAAATGAGAAACATTTGCAAAACTAAAGATTTAATATTCCAGCGAGAGAATGCCCTTTGGCAAGTATAAAAGCTGTCCCTAAATGTGAAGGGTTTATCCTAGCAAGAAGACAAAACGACTTGCTTCTAAGACGTTCATGTAGCAAAAATCTAAGTGTAATTCCAGAAGGCACGCTTCAGCTTCAAGCTTTAAACCATCAGACCTAACTAAAAGGTGGGTTCTTACCTTGGATTACCTCTAAGAGCCCACTGAGGATATGAGAGTTACAACATTTACATGCAATGGAAAATGGCAGGTAGTGCTACAGCTGGACAAATGAAAAGTAAGGCATTTTACAGGAAAAAAATCTAAGCATACTTTAAAAGACTTCATGCCTTCCAGTCAAAAAGTAATTTTTGAATAATTATAGAATATTCCCTAAAGAACAACAATGTGAAGTTCTATGCAAAAAGAGAAAAAAAAAAAAGGAAAGAAACAAGAATAAGGGAGGGGGAGGCAGGCAGGGAGGACCAAATCCTATTAGGAAAAAACTATAAATCAAAGGTGTCCAATCTTTTGGCTTCCCTGAGACACACTGGAAGAAGAGCTGTCTTGGGCCACACATAAAATACACTGAACTAACAATAGCTGATGAGCTAAAAAACAAAATCACAAAAAAAATCTCATAATGTTTTAAGGAAGTTTACGGATTTGTGTTGGGCCACATTCAAAGCTGTCCTGGGCCACATGCAGCCTGCGGGCCATGGGTTGGACGAGTTTGCTGTAAATAGAACATATTTTCTTATCCTTCTACCAAATCACAGTGTAGTTATAACTAAAATGCAATTTTGAGTAGTTATCATAAATCCAGAAAGGGAAAGCAATACTGACAAAGATCCAGGAAGGAGGTTTCACTGGAGATTAAGTTAAAAAGTCAAGCATCTTCAATTGAGAAACATGAAAGCAAAGGGGCAATGTCATCAAAATCAGAAAACGTATCA